TAGAAGTCTATGCTTGGTGAGAGGCCAGGAGACTGACAGTCCTATTTTTAAAAAATTAGATGTTACCGTATTACAATAATTGTTAGCATTCCAAGATATCAATATTCCTATTCAAAACAAATAAAAATTGAAAACAAATTGAAGTCACATGTCTACTGTCTCATTACTCAAGCCAAAATGCTATATAAGTCAGTACCTAATTACTAGATGGAGGGATGAGTGTTCAAAAAAATGGTCAAAAAGACTCACTAGAGTCTTGTCCTGAACTCATTATTGCCACCCTCATCAAGACTTGAAATATATCTATCAGTATTCAACCCAATAGAAAATCCTCACCTGCCTATTTGTATTTTTCCCAGATGAATTATCCAATGAAATGAAAATGGGAAATCAATATAAAATTATAGGAATTCCAATCTGTATGCAAAGCTACTTACAAGCCACAATTTGTCTTGAAGCTAACAGCGTATATCCTTCTAATTCTCCAGGTAGGACAAGAGGCCAGTGAAAATAGACAACAAAATATACTAGTTCCGATAATAGGAGACTGAAATGCAACTGTCTCTTTCTTTTCATCCCAATCTTCTTCTACTTAAGCAGTTTTCAAATGTGATCTAGGGATTTCTGAAGGTCCCTGGTTCCGTTTCAGGGGGAACGTAAAACACCCACACCCACACCCACACCCACGATCTTAGTGTAATTCTTGTTCTTTGGCAAGTTGGTCACAGCAAATTGTCAGACCCCAGTCCCCCACGGTCTGATCTATTTTTAAACTTGGCTTTTTCTTTTGTCAACTTTTTGCCTACATAAAATTTGATCCCATTCTGTTCAGTTTACTTGTTGCAAAATTAATTTTCATTGGATTGGAAAGAATAAAATAACTAAACAACATTAATATTGATCTCTTCTTGTTTTGTACTGGAAGAAATATTGTTAACATGAATTTTAATTTCAGAACCAAGTATCCCTATTCCTATCTTCAAAAACAAATAGACAATTATACTGAAATCTTTTTCTGCTCTAATTTGGTTGTCAGCTAATTAATATTCATCTTGTATTCCCTGAAATTGAAATCTCTCAGGTCCACTCCTATTTTCTTACTAGAATTCATCTCCCTTTTGTGAACTAGAATTTTGGAACCTAATATTCCTTTAGCGTTATTTGTTCATATTGTTTCCTGATGTACTCATAATGAATTGAATTCAGAGTTGTGTTCTGCTGGTAGCAGCAGTTTCACTTATATCTTACCTTTACCAACATCTGAATTTCATCCTTATAGATGTTAAGGTTTCTATTTTGTTTTTTTTTCAGGGCCTTCTTGTATCAGTGAAAAATTTCAGTACCTGCTGTCTTTGACTTCAAATTCATGTTGGAAATTTACAGCACTTCTGGCTGATAGCTTTGCTTCAAAAGTTCTTCCATCTGGCATTTATAATATTTTGAAATTGTCCATAATGTTGAGCTTAGTACAGACTATTGATGGAGATGACAAAACAACAGACTACTTAGATCTTCTGGTAATAACAAATGATTCTCTTACACTGGAGAGGTAATTATTTTTTTTCTTATGGAGAGGTTATTAGCTTTCCCTAGTAGTGCTCCCTCTCTCCCTCTCACACACACACCTGTGCTGTTTTATTGTATCATCAATAACTGATGTTGCTATAATCTGAATTATGCATATAACCCCCTTTTCTATATATTTATTCAACTGAAATTCATTGCCAAATATCTTTATATTTCCATTTATTTATCAGAAATACTACAAATTCATTAGTGAATTATCTATTTTCCCTAATCATCTAGAATTATGAATTACAGTATATGTCTTGTGCCTCGAGGCGTTCGGCACTTTCCATCTGGTGAAATTTTTCCAATTGTATCAAAAGATAAACATGGGACTGGAAGTGCTATTATTCAGGCTGGTAGTGCTTTAATGGCTAAAAATGGAATATGCTTCATTGGAGAGCTAACTTCATATAAGAAAGAGAAACTTGAACAACTACAAGCAGGTATGGCAATTAGCAACTATTTGTAAGACCAAGGGTAACTTTAAATATTTTTGCTAGATTGCCTTACAGCTTTGAAATCCCAGAGAAATTATTTTAATCACTACAGATATTTCTATACCAGTCAATTTTGGTACTGTGCAATCAATATTTTTCTATTACAAAGCTGTATGTAAAATTTCCTTAGGAATATAATGCTGTATGTTCA